ATATACATTAAAATGTGTGTATATATGTGTGTTTATATACATATGCATTTTTTGCTTTTTTATGTAAAATATATCATATTTCTGTTATCAAGGGTAGAAAGTTTGTTGATTCTGTCCCACTGATAGATTAACAGTACTTAGATCAGTGCCAAGTATATATCACATATTTGATAAATACTTGCTGGAGGAATTACTATGTGTTTAAACTGTTACACTCTCACAGAGACCCAAACACTTCAATAATGTTCTTTTTATATTTGAAAAGTATTGCTTAATATGAGTTATTGACAAAGTAAGTCTCCCTAGCATCACCACACTTACCAACTAAATTCCACTTTACTGCACCTCAATTTTAAACATAAAATTCCCAATAGTCAACTTCTAAGAAATGGCTGAATTAATTTTTCTTTTGTTAGAAAAACAGGTGTATCATATCACATTCTTATCATCATCTATTCTTAAATGAAAGCACAAAAGATTTCATAAGGAGACTGATTACAGACTTCTGGAGGAATAAGCTACACTGTCCCTCCCATAGCCCTGAAGAGCTAACACTTCCCTTCAAAGACCATATCAGTCCTGGAGGATCAGCATCTGGTAAATACAATCCATCAAAAGCTGTGGAGCAAAGGGGAAAAACCCCACCTAATGGCATATGTACCACTGAAATGAATATTCCATGTGGCTATGTAGGAAAGTCAGAACGAAGAACAAAGCAACATAACAGGGTGTGATGTGACACATTATTTTGTGACAATAACTGAATAACTGGAGAAATAAAATCCTGTACTCCCCCTCATCCTCTTCTCCCCCGCACCTTTCCCCACAAACACGCATGCCCCCTGGGTACCCTAGCACTGCACAGACACATGCACACACCACACGGACTGCGATACCTCTAATTTACAGAGTCTGGAGCAGGGGTATTAAGAAATCTCATGTCATCTGTCTAAATAAGTTATAATCAAGCTGCAAAACTGTTAAATGCATTCATGAGAACAAATTTTTTAAATTGTGTAAAGCTATCATTTTTATATGACTTATCAAAGACAAAATACCAAAGACCACTAAATGTAACATTCTTGCATAAAGACTTTTCTGTGATGGGCCAAATTGTTTGGCTGAATAATAAAATAATGACATCCGTAAGTCATATATTTTATTTATTCTATAACATTTATTTTGTTCTTCCTACATTTCAGAAAAATCAAGAATCATACTGTTGGGGCTGGGGATGTGGCTCAAGCGGTTGCGCGCTTGCCTGGCATGCGTGCGACCCAGGTTCGATCCTCAGCCCCACATACAAACAAAGATGTTGTGTCCGCCAAAAACTAAACAATAAATATTAAAATTWAAAAAAAAAAAAAAAAAAAAAAAAAAAAGAATCATACTGTTAAAATCTAGATTTACTACATAATTCATGTTCTATTTGTAGCGATGCCAAATTAGACTACTTTTCTTAAATATTTAAGTTGTTTCTTACTTTATTAAATTTGGAAAAAAAAAAACCTTCACCTTTAGTTGAAATAGTAGCAACTAAAATTGTCAACAAAATTTTTAAAGTTTCGCTTAAACTCCCATCACATAGGTTAAATTATTTTATCATACAAAAATATAAGAAACTATTTTAATTTTATTATTAAAATCACCATCATTTATATTATAACACCTACTGTCTTCTTGAAGCAATATCTATAACTTTAATATACATTGTTCCTTGGATTCCACTCCTTTTCCTGTTTTATACAATCAAAAGAAAACAAAACAGTAGTATGTTGCTTAATTTGTAAAATCTTGCTTCCTTTAAGACTCTTCCTCCAATGAAATATCAAGAAAACAGTTTTCTTAAGAACTGGTGTAGTCCAGGCAAAGTGGCACACACCTATAATTCCAACAACTAGGGAGGCTGAGGCAGGAGGATCACAAGTCAAATCCACCCTCAGCAACTAAGCGAGGCCCTAAGCAACTTGGTGAGACCCTGTCCCAAAATTTAAAAAATTAAAAGGGCTGGGGATGTGGCCCAGTGGTTAAATGCCCTCTGGGTTCATTCCCCAATCTTAACAACAACAACAAAAAAACTGGTCTCAATATCATTTTTGCATCTCATCTCAAGGCCAGGGACACAGCTGCTATCCAAGCATGCACTGGATGTCTCTGCTTTCTTCAGTTGACCTCTTATTCCTGGAAGTATATTTCCAGAAGTCTAGTTCATTTTATTCCTTCAGTAGATTGGTAGTTTACATAGATTTAYGATCCCACAGTTATTTTCATTCAATATATTGAAGGAATTGGGCCACTGGCTTGCAGTGTTGATATTGGGAAATTCCACATCATTCACCTGCCAGTTCTCTTGTTAAGTGCCCTGTTTAATTTCTCCCAAAGTTTTTAGAACATTCTCTTCTCAGATACTTGTGTGACTAGTTCTTCCTCTTTATCCAGTTCTCTGCTGACCTCTTTAGGGATCTTTCCTGACCAGTCAATAAAAAGAAGCCCCTGCATACCCCTCTCACATCACCATATTTGATTTCTGCCAAAATACTTATTACTGTCTGATATTTTCTTGATTTACTCTTTGCTACATGGTCTGTTTCCACCAAACAAACTGTGAGGTCTATGGGAATTCGTTTGCTTCTGAGTCACCAGTGTTTGGGATAAGAGCAGATACTTTAAAATGCTTATTGAATAAATGAATGAAAATCCCGTTCACAGCACTACTGCCAGAAGTAGAGCAAAAATAGCCTTTTGATTGTATTCGTATGGTACCTAAAACAGGATCATGTCTAGGACCCACCTTTGTCAGAGTGCTTAGATTTAGTACAGACATGTCATCCAGCATAGCTAGTCCTAAACCAGGAGACTGACAATTTTAACTACATTTGAACTTTTCAGCAGTTCAATTTATTTGTTAAAAAATATACATATTAACCTCTTAAGAAGCTAAAGCCTTTGGGAGATCCTCCTGTGCAAATAAAAATACTCCTTTCAGCTCACTCTGATACTTGAGGCACATTTGGCAGGTAACTCAGCCTGGTAAGTTCCTGAGCAGGAATGGTTCTGACATCAGATTTTCCAGAGAGGTCACACTGAGGTTCTGCTATGGCTAAGGAGGTCCTCAGCCATCCAAATATTTTAAATCCACAGCCCTTTCTCTTCTATGCTTTGTGAAACAGGACTTGGGTATTCCAATGGAGAACTTGTTCAAGTTTGGACCAAGTTCAAGCTCTTTCTCCACAGAACGGTAGCCCTCCCTCGGAATAAGAATTCAAGTTGGGCTCCAAATTTCATGGCAGAGTATCACCTCTGCCATCTAGTATCTGAAAGATTATTAATCATTGTTTAAACCAGCAAAATAACTGAATGACACTTCCTGAACCACCATCAGAGTTCAATCATGATTTCACTATGATCCAGTATTTGCCAAAAGTCTGTATAATACATATAGAATTAAGATATATAGTGCAAGAAAGGGGTTGTGATTTTCTGTTTTTGTTTTTGTTTTTGTTTGTTTTGTTATTGCTGTTGTCGTTTGGTTTTGGTACTAGGGATTGAACTCAGGATCATGTAACCACTGTGCCACATCCCCAGCCCTTTTTTAAATTTTTTTTTATTTTGAGATAGGGTCTCACTAAGTTGCTTATGATCTTACGAAGTTGCTGAGGCTAGCTTTGAACTTGGTATCCTCCTGCCTCAGCCTTCCCAGCCACTAGGATTACAGGCATGCATCCCTATGCTAGGCACAAGGAAAAGGGTTAATTATCATTCTCTAAGTTCTGTCAGCTATGCCCTGCATTAAACTGTATCTTCAGAAAGCGATATCCTTGAGCCAAATTATCTTTTTCCCCCCTCCAAAAATAAATATTTATTAAGTTAAAAGTTAATGTGGTCATCTTGTTTCTAGTAGAGTTACATGAGGAAGGAAATCCATAGGTTTCAGAAGATAGCCTCAGTACTCACTCGCTTTGACACTGAGGGTTTGAAGCTGAGGGTTCTTGGATTTGTTATGTCATCTCTCTAAGACAGTCTTCTAATGATAACGGACTTGTACCCTAGGCTATGAGGGACAAATGAGGCAATTCACCTAATGTTCCAGACATAGTCCTTGAGCTTTTAATAACTGTTGTGGCAATTATAAGAAATTATTTGAAATCCCAGAGACTCAGGAGGCTGAGGCAAGAGGATTGCAATTTCAAGATCAGCAGCAAATCAGTGAGTCCCTAATCAAAAACAAAAAATTTTAAAACAAGGACTGGGTGTGTAGCTCAGTGGCTAAGTAACTATGGGTTAAATCCCTGGTACCAAAAAAAAAAAAAAGGGAAAGAAATTATTTCAACATTTTCATATTATTTGCAAAATTTTGGTTTAAAGCATCATTCATTACATTGCATAAAATATTTTTCTCTTTGGTTTGTAGTAACACAAAAGTGTCTCTTCAAACACACAGGTAGGGAGAATTATACAACCAACCATGTTTTCTTTCTAGAAGGAGACTCAGGTCATTTGTCACAATAACCTCTTTCAGGTATCTATTTTCTTCTATTTCCGCCTCTTAGTTGGCTATTCTTTTCATTTTTAATGTACACCTTTATATTGTGTTTATCTTTGTAGCTGGTAACCTACCATTTACTAGCTGAGTAAACCTGGAGAGGTTATTTAACACCTTAAGCTTCACTGTCTTCACCTGTCAAATGGGAATTTGGAACATACTTTGTAAAAACTTGATTGAGAGACTCGTGTATAGTTAAATAATCTTAGAGACCAGTGAAGCCCAGACCACTAAGTAATTCATCATCTCTTTTTTAAATCACTTTGTTTGGAACAAATATGTAGAAGGAAAGTGGGGGAAAAGATGCAGACTCACATTCTACTTACCTCATATTTACGAGAAGAAGTCGGATACACCAAAATGTACAAAATGCTGGCGCTACGGTATTCACAGCAGTCTTTGCTTAGTAAAAAGCACAGAGTACAGTAAAGGAAAAAATGAAATCAACACAACATACCTGGAGAGAGATTACACTGACATTATCAAAATGAATATGTCCATTAGGCTCTGTGACAGCAGGATTTGCATAGCAAGTCACACCATTGATGGCAGGTAACGTTTTAGGTTGATGCACTTTTTCTTGAGGACCAAAGTCGTCATTTCCAAAGTGAGTATGATCATTCTACATAAAAAAAGGAGCATGAATAGGTTATAAGACGAAAAAAAAAAAAAGACAGCTCACACAGACAAGCAAATAGTTTACTGCTTTTCATTTAAAGACAACACTTTTTTATTTCTGGTCTTATGTAATGCACACTTTTTAGATTTATAACATCTCCCTCTGTTTAAATGTATTCTCATTTATTAGATTCTGTCGCTTCTGTTTTTCATGTTAGGGTACATATACTTCTCTGTTTTGATGAATATGAATGGAATATAAATTATATACATCTATTACTTGACATTAAATTGTTGGTACTTGTTCCAAATTCTACAATATGAATCAAGTATTTTCTTATACTTGTCAACACATTGACCTTTTCATTCCCCTCACATATAGGAGTCCAATAACATAATTCTAAGAACAAAATTCCTGCCCACATTAAGGAGTTTTAGAGGGTAACATATCACATGCTTTAAAGTCCATCTACCTGACCATATGTCTTTAATAACATCTTCAGTGTTCTTTCAAAAAAGAAAAATATGTAAAATCCACCAAACACAGCAACTGCTTTCTCAACATAGTTGTCAACTTTAGGATTAAATCCAAATGCCTGAGGGAAGAAAAAGGGCAAGTCAGGTAAAACTAAGTAATTTAACTTGGTTTCTAGAAAATAATACCATAATTTGTCAGTATACAATTTTCATCAAAGTTCTAAGTCCACCTTCACATCCAGGTAATATCAGGAACTCACCTGCCAAAATCACAAAACAAATATTCTGAAATTTGAGTAGCCAAACCCTATGGGATGGCAGAGAAATCTTACAACCCGAAGTCATCCCATTAAATAAAGCCACCAGATGATCTCACAGTTTCTTCCCTAGAACACCTAGGGCAATATGGTTTTGAAAAAGTCAATTTTTAGCAGTGAAGAAGCAGCACTGATTCTCATCTTTATGAGATAATAGCAAATCTAAGTAATGAAGACAAAGGAGATATTGACTACCCACTTTCTCTAAAAGTAGTACATTTTCCCATGATATCCAGAGTAAAGAGATCTCTCCCCCACTGCCCCACCACACACACAGAGAGAAAGATGAGAATGAAATAATCCATTGTTGAGGACAAAAAGACAAGAGTTGGAGTTTAAAGTCACAAAGAGTCAAGGTGTCCCTAACACATGGAAACATTAACTTAAATAAAATAGGGGCAGAGAGTTAATATGTGAAAAGTAAAAAAAAAAAAAAAAAAAAAAAAATCTAAATTTGTGGTATTATTTTTTGGGGGGAGTGGAGTTGGGCTACTGGGGATTGAACTCAGGGACACTTAACCACTGAGCCACATTCCCAGCCCTATTTTGTATTTTATTTAAACACTAGGTCTCACTGATATTTTGTATTTTATTTAGAGACTAGGTCTCACTGAGTTGCTTAGTGTCTCGCTCTTGCCGAGACTGGCTTTAAACCCATGATCCTCCTGCCTCAGCCTCCTGAGTGACTGGGATTACAGGCCTGCACCACTGTACCCAGCTTGAGATATTTTTATAAATACAGATTTTTGGGGGCCGGGGGTGGGAGGTATCAGAAACTGAACCCATGGCCACTTAAGCACTGAGCCACATCCCCAGAAGTTTTTTTAATAAATTTTTTGAGACAGGATCTTGTAAATCCTTAGGGCTTCACTAAATTGCTAAGGTTGTCTTTGAATTTGTGATCTTCCTGCCTCAGCCTCCCAAGCCCCTAGGATTACAGGCATGTGCCACTGTACCCAACCAGGTTCTTTATACTAGAACATTTTCAATAAAATATAAAACCTTAAAATCATAGATGTAAAATCTCTAGTCTACATGTAATACTAGTTTGTTTAATTTGTGTGCATGTATGTGTGTGCCTGTGCGTGTGTATCTATGTATTTGGTGCTATGAACTGAACCCAGAGCCTTACACATGCTAGGCAAGTTCTCCACCACTGAGCTACCTCCCTGACCTATTTGTTTAATTTCATTGGACTTAAAAGCAAGAGAGATGATAAATACATATAGTATTGTGTTATATTAAATGTATAAAAATTATTTTTAGTCATAAAACCTGCACTGTCAACTTAGCTATATTACTAGTCAATTGTATGAGTATATCAAGTCATTTAATTCTCTTGGATTTTAATTTTCCTCTCTATAATTGAAGGTTTGAAGTAAATCCTCTCCTATGTTCTTCCTGTATCAAACAACAATAATAAAATCTATAACTCTAAGAAGTTGTACTCCCAAATTTCCATAGAGGGCTGTGAAAACTAAACAAGGTTTTAGTAATTTTCTAAAACTTCCTGAAATATTATTTTGTCTCTGTTTGCAGGTTGTCTGTCTCTCTCTCTCTCTCTCTCCCCCTCCTTCCCTCCCTCCCCATTATGTATAGAGAGATACAGTCTGTGTATGCACAGATTTCTCTAGTTCTCCTTTGTGACTTCCTCCTACAAATGTCTCTTTCTTTTTCTCTCCTCTTCAACATTTCCTTTCTTTTCTTCTCACTAATTTCCTTTTTCTATTACTTTTTCCTATATGGCCATTATATATATATATATATATATATATATATATATGAAATAAAACATACATTCCACTTGAATACCATCCATGAATAGTGCATGGTAATCAATATCAGGTCAATAGCACATTTTATCAAAGAAAAAAATAAGTCGCTATTTATTTATTGGCCCACAATTGATTTTTTTTCCTTCAATCGAAAAAGAAGGAAAAGGGTTGTTAAGGATGCTCTCACTGATCCTCTGGTAGTAAATATAGGAGGGCCTTTTGTGGTACATCTTCAGTAAACCTGACATTGCATGCTCTTAAGGAAATAAATAAATAAATAATGAAACAGTGCCCRGAAAAATTAAATTCACCCAAATGCGAAGCACAATAAAGTGTTAACGGCCCTCAGAGGTGTCCCAGAGCTGTCTGAGCACGTCCTGGTGGCTGGCCTCCTAGAATATGAATTTTGTCTCTGACACTGACAGCCACTGCAGCTTCAGACAAGCTTTTACATTTGCTATGATTCAGCTTTCTCTTATCCAAAACACTATAAACCAGACTGTAAAATTCTGAGAGAATTATGGAGGTTAAAACTGTATAAAATGCTAATGCATTTAAGAGAAACAATTATTCATAGAAACCAACAGTCAACATCCTTACCTCTGGAATAAGTTGGAAAATTGCATTTGAAAAAAGGGTCCCAATAGCCAGTCCCACAAAATAGGTCAAAATTTTGGGGAAATAAGACTTCTTTATCAGTGGAGTCAAAATTAATCCAAGGAGAGATGCCAGGTTAATAATTGTCACTGACAGGAATCCATATCCCCAAACTGTGGGTCAGAGGGAAAAGGAAGTCACAATTAATCAGAGCCAAGGAGCCAAATGAAACCTTACTGTACATCACTTGGAAAAAAACTTCTTCTTTGAAAGCTTGAAATGGAAACTTTCTTTAAAACAAAATTTTTGCAATGAAAATTATACACAAAACTGAGAGCATATAACAGCATAATATTAAGAGAAATAGTGTCTGACCTTCAATCTGTCCTAAATCATCATTATGGGATCAAAGAGTTTTATAACTTGCAGGAACTTGGAAAATATCTGGAAYAATGACCAAGAGTCTGAGGTCCACGGGCTCCACGCCGCTGAGTTTCATCTATGACTCAAGGCCTACTTCTATTCATGGAGCCTAGAATCTGGATCAAACCATGGTTTCTCCTAAAAAGAAGCTTTCAATTTTCAGCTTTTGTAGGAAGATAAAGGAAGTGTGAGTTTCAAGGAAAAGATATGGGATGACGTGGAAAGGGCAGTGGTAGAGGTGAGGTGGGGTGTGTTAGCCTCCAGGTGAACATCACTGCGGAAGCCGAGCTTGTCATAAGCATTTGTCTGCAGACTCCTGAATGCACTTCCTGGGAGAAGACAGAAGCACCTAAGTCCCCCACTCCCTGAGGCCTCCCAAGACCTAGTGCATGAGACACAGGAAGTGAGCACTTCCTATGGGGCTGGAGGGAAGGTGGCTGCATTGCACAGTTCACATTGCCAGGCCCAGATCAAGGCAGAGATTCTTGGGACAGATGGAAGTGACGCATCTTTCATCTTTGGACACCCAGGGCCTGTTGGTCAACAGGTACTCAGTAASTGTTGCCTAGAGTGAAATGAACAAATGCCGTCCAAAGTTCTAGAGCTAAGGGTAGATGTGACCTATGACCACTGGGCCTCAATGTTCCCTCTTGGTTTAGAGAAATCAGTTTAAGGAGAAAATAGAAATGCCAGTGAAACATATGCAGTGCAGACTGAGACACAACATGCCACTGGAACCGTGCCACGCACGTGTGTCTTTGCCGATGGCCCCACACACTGTACACAGAGAACAGTGTGAAAGAGGAGAAAGCTGCYTCTACTGCCATTTCTTTAAAATACACAGAAAATACTTTTAAATATTGGACCAATTTTCTCCTGGCACTCTCAGAGGAATTCACTGGTGACAGCTAAGGCTCAGTGGGCATTTGCCATGTGCCAGTACTGTGCTAAGCCATCAACAGGTATGAATTCATTTGCTCCTCACAGAGCCCTGTGAGATGAGCACCACTATAACTACCTCCTTCATACAGTTGAGGAGCCAAAGCACAGAGGGCTCAAGCAAGCTGCCCCAGTCCCACAGAAAGGTAGCTGGCTTTCCAACCCAGATCGTCTGGCTCCTGAGCACCCATCTTTAGTCCCATGCTTCATTATTCCTGTAGAGGTCATTCAACTTTTAAAAAGGCCAAAGGATTCAACAAAACTGTAAAAATATATCCTGAATGATGCCTCATGAATACAAGATTACTCACCATTATTCTAGTCCAGTATCCATGAATAAAAACACTTAGCAAATATTCACGGAGCCTAGAATCGGAACCAAACCATGGTTTCTCCTAAAAAGAAGCTTTCAATTTTCCATATGGGGAGCTGGGAAATGTGTGTGCCCATGCACACGCACACAGGGCCATGTACCAAATGAAAAGGACAGAGAATAAATGGCAATATCTCACTACAAGAACCATCACGCACTGACACAATGACTCTCCAGACTCTCTCCTATCCGCTCCAGACCCTGGCCACGCACTACAAAGTCTTCAACAACCCACCTCATTCCCATTTACTAACTTATCACCAAAAACAATACCACGCACTCCCCTCAGACTCTCCGACACTATGTATCCACTGGTAATTTCCCTTAACACAAATGGCCCTCAATCCTACCACCAGCCTTCACACATTTATTCATCAACAAACACTTCTAATCTTATTGGGTAGACAAGATGTCTACATGTTGAAAAATAAAAAGACATTTTTTTTTTTTTTTTTACTACTGAGTAGAGGAAAGGTCACATACTTATCAAACTYATCAGCTTCCCCTGAGAAATCTTGTTCCAAATTCACTTAGTACCTCCATAAATAGAAGAAATACCAGGATCAATTTCAATTTGTCCATCTCCACTAGTCAATTCCATAGACAATTGGTGACCAAAGCCTATCAATTCTGCTTTAGATATCTCTAACTTTCAGCTTCTCATTCTTCGTGCTTGTGGGAGTACAGGTCCTGCCATCTCTCATTCCTTCACCTGATGCAATATGACAGCTTTCTGCCTGGACTCCCTCCCTTTGATTGACAAGGCCTTCAAATTATTATACCAAGACATAAAAATGAGAACTCATGCCCCTATTCCAAACCACCCTTCCTATACCTTTCTCCTCAACATGGTCTCCTCTGGAAAGCCTGTTTTCTGTTTTCTTCCTCCCCGAGGCAACAGTCTCTTGCTCAACAAGATTCTCACAGCTATTTGTTTGAAGTCAGCTGGTCGAAAAAAAAAATCAATTCATCTCCTTATCCCATCTTTTTAATCTTCCTTGCCTTTATGGACATTTATCAGAACTATTTGAGAAGCTGGGAATATAAGTCATCACATGCTAGGGACATTGCATAGAGATGTCCCTTCATAATTTGAAAAAATAAAAATCTATTTTTCCACTCAACTAAGAAACACCAAAGAAAGAACGGGTATGAACATTTTCCTTGTACTTTTCCATTTACACCTAGGACTTACTCTAAGAATCTGTTTCAGAGAGGATACTTTATATGAATTCTGAACCATTTTAATAGACTTCCAAGGAATATCAGTAACAATAGCTAACATTTACTGAATGCCCACTGTGTGGGTCAAAGAACTTCACTTATTTTTAACTCATCTATTTATTACAGCTGTATGAGATAGCTAGCATTATTATCCCCACTTTGCAAATTAGGAAATATGATTTTATTATTACCCCCATGTTATAGGGGTTTTGTTGTTATTGTTTTTCATTGGTTGGCTGGTTTTGTTGGGAGGGGGGTTGGTTTTTGGTTTATTTTTTTGTTTTGTTTTGTTTAGTAGTGCTTAGAATCAAACCCAGGACCTGTCGTGTACTACACAAGCACTTGAACATAAAACTATTCTCCCAGSCCCCGCAACTTTACAGATTTATAAACAGTCTAAACTTCAATTTCTACCTGGCCCCACTCAAAGAGCAAGCAGCACAGATGGTGTTAACAATGAAAACTCTGGAGGCAGGGGACTTATACTTAAAACCCAACTCTTCCCTTTAAGACTATCACAGGCTTGTCCTTGACTTCACTAAGCCTCTGTTATTTAAATTGCAGATAAAAACAGCTCCTATCTCAGAGTTTTTATAAGAATAAAATAAAATAAATGCTATTCTTGTAACATAGTAAGACTTCAATAAATGTTGTTTATTATTCTTTCMAAAAAAATGTAATAAATATATCATCATGTAAATTTTAATCCATTTAGATCATTGTTGTACAGCGAAAAAAACAATAAACTTGGAGTTAGGTGCCCTGGTCTGTCTCCTACCTCTGGTTATTATGCCTATGGAAGCCACTAACTCAGGAATGTGGGCCTAGGTCTTTGGTTTGAACAGAATAATCTTGAAATAAAATTCTATTATTCTTATTTATAATCTGAATTAAACAGTGGTCTGTGAACTCATAACAAAATGAGGCAATTTGGGGCCATGAAGTTATTGCTAAAATGTAGTTCATTTCTCTCCTAGAGATTTGAATTTACTATTAATCTCTTACACTCATTGATATAACTTTATATATATATATATACATACATACATACATACATACATATATAGGACTTCAAAAAATCACACAATGTAAGATCTCTGAGAAATGAGGCTATTTTATCTTCCGACTGAAATATCGAAATAAACATACTGAAAAAAATTCTTGTATTATGACCCCATTATTGCTTTTATTTTGATTTTTTATTCCCTTGGATGTACTAAAACTTGTCTCTCTATTAAATGAACTGGTATATCAAGATTTGGAATCTTCCAAAGCAACTTCATACACATTATCTCATCTGATTGTCCTAGCTAGCCTGTGAGTTGGTGGTGCAGTTAATCATTTTGAAAAACTTTTCCTTGTGGGAAAATAGCACTGGACAAGGGTGAGGGAATAGAGTGAAACTGAGTAGGCTTATATAAGAACAAAGACATAATTGTACTACTGTGCCCAGGGCACTTATATATATTAACTCATGATGCTCCCAACAATCTATAGGAGAAGTGCTCTTACATCCATTTTTCCAATGAGATGGCTGAGGCATAGAGATATCAAATAAGTTGCTTAAGATCATACAACTGCACTGAAATAAAACAATGGATTGTCACATCAAAAAGGAAATATATTGCCAAATTAAATAGATTAGTAGTGCCAAGTACTCTGTTCTTGATATTGGATCCTTAATTCAAGTATTAGGTTCCTTTCCTGTCTTGTAATTAAGAATTATTGACTTTTCCCTTTATGACTTTACAATATTGACCCTAGAATTCCTGCTTCCGACTTCCCTGTTTTCACATTTTGGTTTCTGAACTGGAGTAACCTTTGAGCAGTTAAGGTTAAAATCACTTTTGCATATAGGTAATCACCTACATGGAGTAGGAGATTTCCTTTTTCTGAAGTCTAGCTTCTTGTATTCAGAATTATTTCATGTTAGATATATTTTATTTTTTTWAAAAAAGATATATTTTATTTAACAGAACTAATAGCATTTATGYGCCAGATAATATTCTAAGTACTTGTCAAACATTAAGTTATTTAATCCTTATAACAGCCCTATGAGAAAGGAACTGTTTTAGATGAGGAAACCGAGGCATCAAGAGATTAAATTCATGTGCCCAACACAGCTGGATACTTACAAAGCTGGAATTTGAGCCCAGGTGAGCTGCCTTCACAGTCTGTGCTATTATTGTCTATACTACTAGCAAATGTTAGAATATTAAAGCATTTGCAAAATTCACTTTTGAGTGTAAAGTATAAACTGTATCGCTAAACAGGCTGTATCGAAATATAAATGTTCTCTAGCAAAACATTTGCTTGAATAATTAGCAATTATTCACAATTGCTATTGGTTCAAAATTGAAATTATTTTTATTCACAAAACTGATAATTAAGTTGATAACTTATCCTTGATGATTTCTATTCTTCATATGTATTAATATAGAAGATAAATGAGAACATGGACAACTAGGGTTGAATCTGGCTCTCCCAAACACCAGTTGGGTAACTTTCTTTGAGCAAAGGATTTCAAGTCCTTGTACCTCAGTTTTCTTGCTTATAAAAGCAAGTTTCTACATCATAAAGGTGTATATTAAATGAGTTAATGTATGTAAAGTATTTGGTATCTGTTAAATAGAAAATACCACAGAATTTGGCTATTATTAGTCATTATTATTGTTGTTCACATATAGAGGATTGACACATACATACAAAGCAATCCAAAAGTAGGTTAAATGATAGTTCTTGTTGAGTCTCCTCTTGTTTTCTCTATATTTACTCTCCTTGCAGTCTCTGTGTATACTCATGTTTGATGAACTTGCTCAGACCAGCATCTTGAAATGCCACCTCTATGATAATGAATCTCCTATCTCGATCTTTCCTTTGAACTCAACTGTGTGCACACCATTACCTACTAGATATCTCCACTTATGGGTCTATGTCAATACATAAGGCTGACTGTGCCAAATATTCTTACTCCTCACGACTCCCTTTTGTCTACAATGAATGGCTCCTCCCTAGTCTTCATCCCCAGAAATGGATACAACCATGTATTCAGCTTCTCTGGCTCAAACCTCGACTCATCTTTCTCTTTCCCACATCTGCCCCAGAAGCAAACCATTTTATCACAGTCTCCAAAATCCACTCTGCATCTGACCCCTTCTCCCTAGTTTTACTTTCTCTACCTTAGTCCAAGTTCCCATATCTTGAGCATCCACCCCTGGCAATAGCCTCCTGACCAATGCCCTTGCTTTTGCTCTTGCCCCATGACAATGCACTCTTCAAATTGAAAGTAGAATTCCCCCTTCAGGATTCAAATAAAACTGTGGCACTCCCAGTTTAGAACTCCATGTTGGCCTCACACTCTATTCACAACAAACTCCAATCAGTTGGACCACACCCTCACAGGCCTCCCCCATCTGGTGTCCTCTGCTTCCAGGACAACACTTCCATCTATCTCTGTCCCCTCACTATGCAGACACACAGGCCTTCTTGCTGTTCCTTCCTCAGCCAAGCTCACTCCCAAGCTACACTGTCTGCTCCCTCTACCAAGAAAGCTCTGCCCACAGAGGATCTGCAATGGCCCACTCCTCCTCAGCCAGGACTCTACTCAGTTGTAATCTCACCCCTTGAACGTCTAAAATCTCATCCACCCACACCACCTTCTCTGCCTTACCTATTTTATTTTCTTCTGAGGATGCAATGCTCTGAAACTACATTCTCTTATTTGTTTAAATGTGTATTATTTTTCTTCTCTACTATGGGATAAGCCCCAGGAAGGCAGGAAATTATTTTTCATATTCATTAATGAATCCTTAATGCAGAAAACACTTATTGCATGGATAAGCTAATTAAAAAATGAAAATTAAAATACCCAGGTGGAACAAGTAAACAATTTTGGGATATTGAGAAATTGCATATCACTGGGAAATAGAACCATTGAACAACTGGTTTATTTCACTGGTGAAAGTACTATTCCACGTGCTTAAGCATGTGAACTGTATATTAAGCAACAATTACTTTTCTTATATTTTAAAATCTGTTCACAGCAGATTGTTCCTTAAAAATGGAGTACTTATGGCAATACTGTTACAGACCCTTGCAATCATTGCTGACATTTTCTTTCATCTAAGATTATTAAAAGATTAATAACTCCATCCCTTAAGCTTTGATCTAGTTCCCTTATCCCTTCACTGACAATAGCAGATACACTGGCAAGTTTTAGAATAATGTGATACAAAAATAAAAATAACATGGTAAGCAAAAGGTGATGGAAACTAATAATTAACTATAAGACAAATAATTGACATGCGATCCAATATGTATAGCATAGCATAAAGTATATATTGTTTAAAATCAAGGATTAAGGTTTACAAAGTCTTTAAGTGATACTCAGTATAATTCTGAGTCCACAAGTACAAGATCCTTACATGAATTTAATTCTAACTACTTTCAAAATATAAGTAGATTAACTAAAAGGAAAAAAAAAACAGGAAAAGAAGCATATTAGCATCATTTCATACTGATTCAAAGACATTTCAAATAAGGGAGAGAAAATGCTTCAATGTACCTTCTGAGAGGCTTGGTTTTGTTTTGTGCTTGGACCGATCTGTACAGGGGTGGAAGCTCAGCTGTTGTACAAGTGCTGGACAGATGGCCGAGAAGTTTGAGCTGGTTATCTGGGAGGCATTTGAAAATCCATGAAGGGAAAAGATCTCGGCAGCAGATAAACACTGAAACAGAATAAACCCAATAGCACAACACGTTAATACTATAAAAGCACATGAACAAAGAGACATAGAATAGTTCAGCCAAAACCCACTACAGAAATGTACACACCCTTAAAATAAGGAAATAGTCCATACCTCTTTACACCTAGAAAAAAAAAATAGCACAAAGTCATCTCAATCAACAGCCTGCTGATACAAGATAACAATGACAGATTGGCCTGGATGTATGCAAAGACTTTTTAAAATAAATAAATAAAAAGTGGGGCTGGGGTTGTGGCTCAGCAGAAGAGCGCTGGCCTAGGGCTTGCAAGGCCCTGAGTTTGATCCTCAACACCAYATAAAAATAAGTAAATAAAAAARGKATTAAAAATGATAATAATAAGTAAATAAATAAGTAAAAACTGTGCTGGGGTGGGCCTTAGTGGCGCTCTTGCCTAGCATGCACAAGGCACTGGGTTTGATCCCAGCACCGCAAAGCATAAATAAATAAATAGAAATAAATAAAAACATATCATCAGCATTCAAACAAAGGGTTTTGAGACAATTTCAAATTCTCAATATTCCCTCCCAGTTTCTTTATTTATTTGTTAGTTTGAATGGATTTTTATGGGAGCTATCAGAGTACCTATCGAATTTCTTACAGATAAACACCTGGTCCCCCACAGTTTCATAGTAAAGAAATTCATCCCTCCTCTACAGAGCAATAATAATCCTAACATATAAAATTATTTTAAAATGTGTCTCTAAAAGAAACGATTGTCTCTAAAAAAAAAAAAACTAAATATGCTTTATTCTCAATGATAGCTTTTCTATAWCATACGAAGTTTTGAAAATAGTATTTTTGAAATGTATTAATTCTTAATGAGGAATAGAATCTGCCCTAGAAAAAAAGGAGGACTGCAAATTCAAGGCCATTCTGGGCAACTTAGTGARATGTGGTCTCAAAATAAAAAATAAAAAGGGCTGGAGGTGTGGCTCAGTGATAGAARATGACTAGGTTCAATCCCCAGTACTCCAAAAAAAGAAAAAAAAAATCTGGAAAAAAATAACTTTTTATTCTCACGCACATTTTAACTCTAAACTATCTTCCATATACTTGCATTATAACAAAGAATATAAAACAAACCAAATACTAACACATGCTATAAGAACTATAGCATGTGAAAATAAACATTTACTCAAGTAGAAGTGTCTATTTTTTAATAAATAAAATTGGGAAAAGTTCTTTGCACATTCTAGCCAGTCCTGAAGCCCCACTAAAACGTTAACTATATTCTAGGGACTGAAKTGCCCCCCCCAAAACTCCTCTATGTTGCATCCCTAACCACCCAATGTGATCATATTTGAAGTGGGGACTTTGGTAGGTAATTAGGGTTAGATGAGCTCATGAGGGGCCTGATCTCATRGGATCTATGTTCTTATAGGAAGGGACACCAGACAGTTTGCTTGTTGGCTTTCTCTGCCATATGAGGTCATCAGGAGAAGGGCACATTTGCAACCCAAAAGAGAGCCCTCCCCAGACAACACCTCCTTTGCATCTTGACTTCCAGTCTCTAGAACTGTGGGAGAATAAGTATCTGCTGGTGAAGCCACTTGGGCTATGGTATTATATTATGGCAGCTGAGCTGACTAGTACACTAGGAATGGTTTTGAGAACTCAAAAGTTGAGTTGTTTCACTAAGGTGCTGTAMTTCCCTTCATAACAGAAACGATAAAAGTAAAAATGTCAGATTTTGATACAAAGAAACCACTATTGCTTATAAAGGAAAAATTGAAAAATACCAAATACAGCAAGATGCACACAATTGTCAAAGCCAAGACTGCAATTACCTTACGGAAAATTCACATTCTTTTTTATTAATTTTTTTATTTTTTTAAATACACGACAACAGTGGAATGCATTACAATCTTTATTACACATATAGAGCACATTTTTTCATATCTTCTTTTTTTTAATGTCTAAGTATGCATCTAAAGTTCTCTTTATTCAACTTACTCTCTCCTTTGAGTTTAGGATGATAGCTGACCACTGGCCCTAGAAGAGTACACAGCAAACTGACTGCTCATTTAATAGTCTTTGCTCTATTAACACTCTTCCCTGGGGCTGATAATAGGGAATCCTAAGCTAATAGATGGAGAAAATACGCAGATAGCCATTGCAGAAGAGAAAGTGGGTATAGTTTATTTCATCACCATGAAGACACCCAGGAGCATCATTGCTAGACTCAAAAATTACAGAGCCAGTGTGGCTCAGCTGGCCGATACATGACTCCAGGAATTAACCAGTTGATAGACAGCAGACAGTGGGACTTTCAGCCTCCAACACAATTGTGTGAGCCAGTACCTCACAATGAATCCCTCATTCACATGCTTGTGTGCTCACGCTTACACTCGCTCTCGCTCTCTCTTCCCCCTTCTCCATTTTTCTCCCTCTCTCTCTCTCTCTCATATATATATACATATATATATATATATATATATATATGTGTGTGTGTGTGTGTGTGTGTGTGTGTGCATGTGTGTGTGTGTGTGTGTGTGTTTCTGTTTCTCTGGAGAACCCTAATACATACCTCATACCTATCACATTATTTTCTGACTAAAATATGATTTCACTACTTTAAATGCTATCAGGCTCTGGTTTTCTTTAACAATATCAAGTATAACAGCCATAGAATTATACTACACTTTGCATTAATTATTTCCTTCTTTCTACAAGTATTTATTGAATCATTGAAGTCTGGGTATAATATTGATGGGAGAAGAAGAGGGTGGGGAAGATAGAGGATGACAACCAGGAAAAGAAAAAAAAAGAGTACAAATAAATAAGCAATATCACTCTCCCATCAAGAAGCCTAAATAACGGTGGTGGAAATGAAGTAAATATGCCAAGAACTATAAAACCAGAGTGAAGGAAATAAATCCAAGAAAGACACCACAATAAAGAACTACAAGTGTTAACATGAAGGAGAAATTATACACAGAGGAAAGAGTCAAAAACAACTATGAGGACAGGACTCTRGAAAAAGATAAAAAGGATGTGGCTCGGGGTCTGATTAAGGGACTTAGGAGGAGAAACACGTGGGGCAATTTAGTTTTAAGATATTTGAAGTTGCAGTGCCTGCAGGGCCTCAGATGGAGATGATCTGAAGCTTTCTCTGACAAAGGTAGATGCCTGGGAGAGAGAWGAGGCTCTCTTCTGTGAAAAGACACCTGAGCAGGCAAGGAAAAGATGATCAGGAGAGAGAACACWTAGAACAAAGAAAAGATCTTTTTTTATATAGAAAAAGGCCTCAGGAATATATGTGTAATTTGTTCAAAMACAGGGAAAAAAAGAGCCAGAGAACAAGATGGAACAAGAGAATCCCATAACATAATAATCTAGAATAGCAAAATGTAGTGAATGCCCAGGWCTTTGGCCTGCTTGGCATTCCTCATTCATGGGCCAGTCAGGACAAGCCACCTGACCACCATGGGAGCTTCTTTCACGTCATGTGAGTGGGGCTGAGCAGGGAACAAATGATCAAGATTTGTCTACTCTCTGATRAAAGTACTGATAGTACGGGCAGGAATGCTGTGAGTCTAACGACTCCTTCAGCCATTTTKCCACCATGTGAAAGAAAACTGATGACTCAGAGATTTTCAACATCATCATTATTTCCGTGGATACCACTGTGCCTGAAGCTAACGTGCCCTTGACTCCTCAGTTACCTGGGTTAATAAATCCCCTTCTTGTCTTAGGTTAAAAATAAGTCATAGTGGTTTTTTTTTTTTTCCTTTCACTCTTCAAATGAAAGATCTCTAATTATTTAAAAGTCATTTTCTAAAAACTAGTGAAGGAATGGCTACCTAGGTGAAAACAACAAGATATGTTTCCACTTTTTCTCTGTTTCTTCTTCCTTTTCTCAGCACATGAACCATTTTCTCTACTTGGCTGTCTGGTCAAGTGGCACCCGTTAAATAATACAAATAATAGGACCATCTGATGCTATGACCATTATGCCAAGGCCTTTGCACCAAAACCTGAAATGAAAATCATCCCATTCAACTCAACCCGGAACTGGTTTCAGATTTTTTATCATGGACTGGGACTCTGTGGGAAGATAAGAAGTTGTCAGTCCCAATGAAGGACACTGCTAGGTGTGGCTTATACTCTCTGTGTGACTAAAGGTAGGGAGAAAGAGTAACCTGAGATGTATTTAAACTCACTGACTGTCAAAGTTAGAATAAAATATCAAGTCCGGGTAATTTTCCTAGGTGGTAAAGTAAGTGGGACACATGAACTTCAAATTCTATTACAAATCCCCAAAGGGAGTCAGAGAGTGAAGTTGAGTTAGGATCCAAGTCTGAAAGAACCCTAAGTTCATTGTCAGCAAGCACTGCAATTACCTTATGGGATTCACCACATGCACAGCCATGCGCATTCATTTACTCATTAACAAAACAGGTTGATCACACCTTCTGTGGGCCAGAAGTTGGGCAGGGACTGAGATTAAGACATGGTTCCCGAAACATCTTCAATAAGGTCACCATTCATCAGAGAAAACAGACAGATGCAAAACTGGTAAATATAATGATATRAAGGAGGTATTGTGAGATACAAGGGAAGAAGCCAGGATCACTTCCTGGAGGAGACRTCACACATACACAGTCTTCTGTATTATTTTGGTGCTTCTGAGGGCTGGGAAGATGAGACATTATTCACATAAAATAACAATCAGTAATGCAAATGAGTATGCCGTTAATTGACACRTATTTTCTATACAACAACTATCATAGGAGTTCTATAAAGGCTACAGATAATAGGAACTATAATATATGCTTAACATATTCAAACTCTTTCAACCAGCACGTTAATTACTAATARATTTCAGAAAAAAATCTGGATGAAGAAATTATGTCTGATAGTAGAATGAATCAGAATTATTACCCTATGTACATATATAACTATATAACCAGTGTGATTCTACATCATGTAAAACCAGAAGAATGAGAAATTATACTCC